ATATATGAAATTTGGTATGCTTGAAATCAACTTCAATATAAATACTTTTTATTTAGGCAGCTCATTTTAGCCTATTAATTTAAGCCTTCTAATCAAGAGGTGTCATTTCAAAATTTTACATGTGTTATTCTATCTGAATTCGTGATCAATTTCCTTAAAAAATAGTTTCATTTTGGATATTGTTGGCAAATGATATAAAAGAATGGTTGCAATCTGCGGGTCATTATATAAAAACAAGTCTTGCATATTAATATCAATTTATTAGTTTGAATAGCTTTTGAGTCTCAATCAAATGGCAATTAGGGTGATCCTAATTATTGGTCAACCAATGAATTAATTTTATGAAAGCTTATTTGATAGGATTGGCTACCAACTTTTATAGTCTAATTAACTTGCATCCATAATTAATGAATTCATTTGCAGGTTTGTTTGAAAGATGGAATTATTGAAGACAAGGAGAAAACTTCAAGGGGATTGTAATTTAATGATTTAGTTGACCCCTCCACTTTCAGATGAACAAGAAAGGACACTGAGGACTTTGGATTTATAGTATAGTCCAGAATCACAAAGGTTACTGCTCCTCCATTAGGAATCTTTGATGACTAAGCCTCACATGGGTTGGTACTTAATTGAGGCCACCAAAATTTGTATTTTATCGGACAGAGTGAACTTTCAGTAAAGTTAAAATTTTATTTGGATAAAAACATTTTGGAAGATATACAACATACCTGTACTCAATTCCACCAAAATTTGTATTTTATCGGACAGAGTGAACTTTCAGTAAAGTTAAAATTTTATTTGGATAAAAACATTTTGGAAGATATACAACATACCTGTACTCAATTCCTATGAGTTTACATTTCTGATAGCTAAACTTCAATATTTACATGTATGAGTGACATCTAACCTATACATGAAAAATAAAAATGTCACTTTTAAGAAATCAAAATAGTGGTATTTTCTTATATGATATGAAATATTTTAGTGGTATAACATAAAAAAAAAGTTAAGGGGTTGCTTATGTAAATGCATAGGAATTGGGTAGGTTGAGGTGTGGAGCCTGGAAGCACTCAGACAGTCGTATCAAAACACACAACAATGCACCTGTGCATAGGTCTGGCGTAGCCATGCTTGTTTCGATCATAGTTACGTAGGATGGCATGCCTATGCCGAACAACGACGTAACCACGAAGCAAGTTCGATTTTTCTAGATTTTCTTCTTGCGGGAGTAAAATATTTATGACTATTTTGGGCGTAACTATGCCGATTATGATTTTCTCCTGATTTGAGAGTAAAAGCCCTTGATTCAGACTAACGAGGTTTATCTCTTTTGTGTGTGGTATTCTTGATAGGGCTTTTGTGAAGCGGAAAAGAGTCGAGTAGGAATGCAACATGTGATTTCTCTTATGCCGTCAAAAAAGAATATAGACCAAAGTTTTGTGAGCTCTAGTTACTGCATAGAGAAGATTTGGGAGAGACTTTTCTCCAATTCATAGTGGAATTAGGATATGGTGTGACTCCGTAGTTTTTTTTCGGTTCTCGAGTTTTTCTAAATAAATCTTGGTGTATTTTCTACGGTCACTTTGTTGTGTATTTTTGTTCATTATTTTTTTCCAGATTTCTCGAATTGGTATGATCCTATTTTCCACAGTGTGGTTTTGTTTGTGAACTAATCAAAGCCCTAAGTCCCGACAAGACGTATTAGAGCTAGTGTTTGATTTGAGTGGATCAATAACCAACAAAGCGAGGTACAAAGTAGAGAAGTTTAAAGGATCCAACTTTGCGTTCTGAAAGTCGTAAGTGGGGGATTTGATGTATAAAAAAAAATTATATTTGACACTATAAGATACACCAATAAGCCGAAACAATGATTACGGGGGAAATGAGAAGTGTTGGATGGAACGACCCTAAGTTTTATCAGTCTTTCACTTTTTTCGTCTGTTGCGTTCAACATAGTGAATTAGCAAATCAAGGTACATTAACTAAGATGATTGACTTGACATAAATGTTTAAAAGTCATGTCTAAGGATATTCAACTAAATAAAATGTCATATTTTTTCATAATTACATTTTATTTTGTTGAATATCTTTAGACATGACTTTTAAACATTTATGTCAAGTCAATCATCTTAGTTAATATACCTTGGTTTGCTAATCCACTATGTTGAACACAACAAACGAGAAAAGTGAAAGATGGATAAAACTTAGGGGCGTTCGATCCAGCACTTCTCATTCCCCCCATAATCATCATTTCAGGCTTATTGGTGATATCTTATAGTGTTAAATATAATTTTTTCTGATATATCAAATCCCCCACTTACGACTTTCAAAACACAAGTTGGTTTCATTAAACTTCTCTACTTTATACCTCTCTTTGCTGGTTATTGATCCAATATTGGTCTCTTTGATGGAATACATGTGCTGATAACGTTATCTAAAGTGGAAGACTATACCAAAATATTTTCCAAAAAGTTTATGACAATAGAGGGAAATTAAATGAAACTGCTAAAGTGGTCTCCTGAATTCGACCCTAGTCAAGAACCACATATAGTTCCAATCTGGTTTAAACTACCTGGCTTAAAGTTTCACTACTTCAACCACCAAGTCCTCTACTCTATTGGAGCTGCACTAGGGAGACCTATGAAATTGGATACACCCACCTTCAAGCGAACCAGGCCTTCGGTCGCAAGAATTCTTGTTGAAAGAGATATCACGCTCCCTGATGTGGACGAAATATGAAAAATATGATTTGGCCCTGCCCACAATGGGTATTGACAGCCAATTATAGCTGAACAAAGACCATACTACTACAATTATTGTAAACTGTTTGGGCACACCCCTGTCAAATGCTTCAGGCTTCACCCACATTTGAGATTGTCAGGTCCTAACAACACCATCATGGAGGATAATATTGTGGACACAGTTAATCTTCCAGAAATGTTGAATGAGAATTTGACTCATAAGACTACTCCATTTGACTCATAAGGCTATCATAAGGCTACTCACCAACCAGACCAGCAGCTTCCGCCTACTGTTGTTGAGGCAGCACTTCCTCAGATTATAAATTCTACGAATTGTGTTGTAGAAGATGATAGGCGAAGTGTCTTGGTTCCACCTATTGCGAGAGAAGAGGGTACTCATGTTATGGAGGAGTATCAAGATCAAGGTGTGCTGCAGGCTAAGTCCGATCAGCAGTTTACCTCCATTGAAGATTCACATATTGTTCACACGAGACTTCCTTTGGCACATGATTGGCATGTTTACAAATCCAGGAAGAAGAAAACTAAATGTCAGATCTTAGTAACTCTCGGGATTACTGTATCATTGTTTTGGGCGGAAGCCCACATCTCAATATGTTGCTGGACTTCCTCCCTAGATCCAAGGGAAGTAGAAGTGATAGATCCACCGACTACACTCACCATGATTAAAAGTTGTTTCCTTTTGTTTTATTTTTTGGGGAATACATTGTAATCCCTGTGAGTGAGATCTTTGTACCCACTCACTAAAACCTTTGTATCATCTCTGTTTTTATCAATGAATTTTGCTTTAAAAAAAAATAATATATATATATATTTGGGATAATTAGTTAGAGACCACCCAAAACATTGATATTTACAAATTAAGCACCTAGGTTATTTTCTTAAACTACCGAATTGATATATTTACCCGTGCCACAATTTGACAATCTAGATTTTGATAAAATTGAACAATATGGGTTAGGGTTTTACCGTGAATTTTGATATATGTTCGAGAATTTGAAAAATGGATAAAAAAGGGTAGTTGATTTGTAAATAGCAAGTTCCCTTTTTTTCGTAAATTGTGTTGCGTGGAATTAATTTTTGGGGAAAGTTCAGCCCAACCCGCGGCCTTACAGTAAAAACTGCCATATTACGAGTATGAGTTGGATTAATTTATTTGTCTACTAAAAATGGGGGTGTTCAATTTTTGGTCAAAAAAAAAATCAAACCGAATCATATTACATTGTTTCTCTGAATATTTATATTTTGATTTTTATATCTGTAGCAAAGACACATATACCCGGTCACCAACATAATATTTTAAGAGGAGAAATCAAGCATCTGTTTATTTGTATGACAGATAGATGACATGGCCACATGTACATGTTGGACAACAAATGTGAACACAAACGGAGAACTTACGTGAAAGAGAAGATTATATGCTAGTACCCTTGTTGTTTTGTCATTTGGTTGTGTGGTATGTATTCAAATCTCTTAAAATTTTGATATTGGTTCATGTCTTTCCATTATGCATTCAAAGTTTATAATCTTTAGGACCGAAACTTCAATTTTTACATGCATGGCACCTTACCTGAAATGTCAAAATGTTGCACCTGCATAGTACTTTGCATTGTTGGTTTATCTGTAACTTGAAAAACTGCAGCTCAATAGTTTGAGGTTTACCTGCAGTATATCTTTTGCATTCCTCACCTAAAAATTGTGCTGCGTTGTTCTGTGTATGATGAGGTGATTTTATGTGTGTAACGCGTAATAAGTGCAGATGTATCTGCATTCATGTAGCTAATCTCAAAGCGGTATGCGTTGTAGTTTGTAAATGAGCAGCAAAAGAGAACTGTTTCATGAGATTCATTGATGTGAATTAGCTCTAGGAATATAGGTTTCTTAGTTTCTTTTTTTTTTTTTTTTTTTTTTTTTTGTAAAGGAGATGGTTGTGGTGCGAGTAAATTGCAGGTGTTATTTCATTTGCATACTTGTGTGTGGTATGTCATTAGATCTCTTAATAGTTTGATATTGGTCTAGGTTTTTGAAATGTTTTTAAATCTCTTAATGATATATGTCAGATTTGAAAATGAAGTATTGTGGTAGTGGGCATCCCACTTCAACTCAATTAAGAAAAGGTGATTCATTGGTTTGGGAAGGTATGCCCATAATATGCATATCAAGTAATTAAATCTTTTTTTATTGCAGCCACAATATAGGGATTTGGCGTAAGTTGGGAGAACAACTCAAGATCTGTTGCCCAATCAATGGTGTCTATCCACTGGAGCAATGCACTTGGTTGGCAATTTCAGATGAGTTATGTTACACGTTACATTTCCAACACCAATACTTCATTTTTTTTACATACATACCTTACCTACCATGTGAGAAATGTTCTGGTGTTGTATCTTGCAAGGGCAGTCATATCCTCCACAAGATGAGGTTTAAGGGTACCATGACTCTCACTTTCATGCTAATATACCTCTCAGGTTGTTTCCACCTGACATTTTAACCATCTCTGCTGCTTTGATTTTGCATGTTTCATATTGCTAATCGTAAATCTGTAACTACGAATATTACATTCGAAAAAAAATAAAATAAAATTGTCGCTATGTGATTGCTGATCTGAATCAGCTTTCCTTCATGCAGAGCAGTGGGTTGTGTTTTGAAGATCACAAGCTTAGCAAGTTTGTGGTTTTTAGTGGAATTTGAGGCAATAACAAGTCTGAGGATCCGACTGTTCTTATGTGCATAAATTTGGAAGGGGTATGAAAATTTGATTGTAGTAATTTGTATGATGCTTGCTAATCTAATTTGTTGTTGAGTAGTTCTTAAATAATGTTTAATGATGTCATGTGTGTAAAACTTGAACTATATGTGTAGATATGAATCCTTACGAAATTGATGTTTATATTCAATGACGGTTCTAAATTGAGTACTTTTATCATGACAACCAGTTATGTAGATTTCTATGTAAATTTCTAATTTACATTGTATTATAGCTACTTCGTATTATGAACTAGAAATCTTCTCAGCCAGGGTCTGGAGGCTCATATCCAGTGAAGTTGTTATATAATTCATCCAACTTGCTAATGGAGCCTTATATCACCTCTAATACATAATCAGCCAGAGGAAGAGATGCTATCTTTGGACAGAAAATGATCTCTACTTTTTCAAGGGGAATAGAATTTGAAATGCGGCAACAAGTGCTAGTGTCTTGTTACCAATTCAAAGCTAGCCACCTGTTGAGAAATTAGGGCCAAGAAAAACAAAAATCGACACAAATCCAGAAGAACACAAAGATTTAACGAGGTTCGGCAAAGATGCCTACGTCCTCGGGAGCAGAGCGGCGAGTTCTTTCACTATTCAGAAAAGAGATACGGAAATCAGGGATACATTCTGGGGTTACTAACATGCTTATTTATAACCTCAGGAGTAAACCGTAAGTACAATACGTAATTATAACATTACTCATGCACCGTACCGCAGGGCGTTGCCCCCGCACCCCCAACCCATGTAACTTCTCGATTTGGACAGATTCTTATTCTTCCGCTCCGCTCCGCTTCGATCCAGCGTTTGTCTCTATATGGTATATGAGTCATACCATAACAAATCTCCACCTTGGTGAATATCCAGCCCCTTAGGAGAAAATATACCTAGGAGTTACACCTGCACCAATGTGGGTTGGACCATCATGCTTCTCTAGCAACTGCAAACATTCGACAAGTTCAAGCAACGCAAGACTTGTTGATAGTAACTGGCTTGGTCAACATATCAGTTGCATTCTCATCAATATGAACTTTCTGCAACAGTATATCACCAGAAGCAATCAATTCTCTGATCTTGTGATATCTGACATCAATGTGTTTGGTTCTCGCATAATACATATGGTTCTTAGCCAGATAAATAACACTCTGACTATCACTATGCAACTGAACTCCACCTTGCTCAACACCTAGTTCTTTTACTAGCCCAACAAGTCATAAGACTTCTTTTGGAGCTTCAGCTACTGTCATGTACTCAGCTTCAGTGATAGATAATGTCACAATAGACTGAATTGTTGATTTCCAACATATATGCCCTCCACCAAGAGTAAACACATACCCAGTTGTAGACCTTCTGCCATCCAAATCACCAGCATAGTCAGAATCAACGTACCCCACAACTGAAGGATCATTTTGCTGACTGTCAAAAATAATTTCATGTCCTACAGTACCCTTCAGATACTTGAAAATTCACTTGACAGTTTCCCAATGTCTCATTCCAGATTTAGCCATGTATTTGCAGACTTGATTAATAGCATGAGCCAAATCAGGACAAGTACATACAATTGCATACACCAAGCAGCCAACTGCACTGGCATATGAAACATTTGTCATGTCTTCGATTTCTGTATCTTTCTTTGAACACTGTTCTGAAGAAAGCTTAAAATGATTTGCCAAATGAGTACTTACAGACTTTTCTTTGCTCATCTAAAACTTTTCTAGCACTTTCTCAACATAGCCTCGTTGATATAAACATAATCGTCTTGAGTCTCTATCTCGATGATTCTCCATTCCAAGAATCTTCTTCATATGACCCAAATCTTTCATGTCAAATTCCTGGTTTAATAAAACTTTTAAACCACAGACATCATTCATATTCTTTGCAGTAATAAGTATATCATCACTATGCAATAACAGAAAAATAATAGAATGATCATCAAGACTCTTCACATAAATGCAACAATCATACTGACATCTTTTGTAGCCAATCTGAATCATGTAGGAGTCGAACTGCTTGTACCATTGTCTTGGAGATTGTTTTAACCCATACAACGATTTCTTTAACCTGCAAACCAGATGCTCTTGTCTAGGTTGAGTGAACCCTTTTAGCTGCTCCATGTAAATCTGCTCCTCTAGATTGCTCCTCCAAATCACCATGCAAGAAAGCAGTTTTAACATCCATCTGCTCCAAATGCAAATCTCAAATAGCTACTAATGCAAACACTGCCCTGATTGAAATATGTCTGACCACAGGAGAAAAGATTTCATCATAATCTATACCCTTATGCTGTAAAAATCCCTTTGCAACCAGTCGAGCCTTGAACTTTTCCCCTTCTTTTTCTGATACTGCTGGTTTCCTTTTGTAGACCCATTTGCACCCAATAGCCTTCTTTCCCCCTAGAAGCTAAACTAACTCCCATGTGCGATTTTTTCTGTAAGAACTTCATCTCCTTAACCATTGCACTCATCCATTTTTCTTTCTCCTGGCTGGTGATAGCTCCTTAAAAAGTGGCTGGATCATTGTTGCTGATGAGAAGTGCACAAGAGACCAAGTCTTCATAACCTAATTGCTATGAGGCCTTACATTGGTGCGTCTCTGTCTATTCCTGACTAGATTATAATTCTGCAGATCATCTGGAATAGAATTACAAGGTGTTAGATTTGAATTTTCACCTCTCAGAGCTACTGGTTGTTGTTCTAAATCCATCTGCACTGCATCTGAACTGGAACTCTTCTCTGACACATTGTCTTGATTTTGCTGTAACATAAAGTGTTCATAAAAAACTGCATCTCTGCTGATCACCATCTTTTTTGCAATCAAATCCCAAAACTTGTATTCTTTCACACCTTTCTTATAGCCCAGAAAGACGCACTTCTTGGATTTTGTATCAAGTTTTGATCTTTCAACTTCACGTACATGCACATAAGCAGGACAACAAAAAATCTGTAAATGATCAAATTTAACTGGATTACCTGTTCATACCTCTTTTGCGAGCTTGCCACCCAATGATGCTCGAGGTGATCTATTGATGAGATAACATGTCATATTCACAGCATCTGCCTAGAAACTCTTAGGAAGCCCTGCATTCAATCTCAAGCACCTTGCCCTTTCAGTTAAGGACATGTTCATCCTTTATGCCACATCATTCTGCTGTGGTGTCTTGCGCTCTGAAAAATGCCTCTAAATCCCATGCTCCTCACAAAACTTCTAAAACTGCGAATATGTGTACTCTGTGTCATTATCATACCTCAAATACTTGATCTTTCTGTCAGTTTGGTTCTCCACCTCAGCTTTCCACAACTTGAATTTAGAGAAGACTTTGGATTTCAGTTTCAAGAAATATACCCAAACTTTCCTGGAGAAATCATCAATAAAGGTAACAAAATACTGAGATTCTTCTAATGACGATTCCCTGGTAGGGCCCCATACATCAGAATATACATAATCAAGAATCCCATCAATTTTGTGTTTTCCAGCCATAAAACTGACTCTAGTCTGTTTTCCAAGAACACAAAACTTACAAAGATCGAGCTTGCAGCTTTTAACACCATGCAACAGGTTTCTTCTATACAATTCCGCCATCCCATGTTCACTGAGATGACCCAGATGCATATGTAATAGCTTTGTACTATTATCATCTGACTCAACAGAATGAACTTCGCCTACAACTGTACTCCTCAACAGTTTGTAGATATTGCCTGCAGTTAACTCTCTTTTCATCACCGTCAGCGCACCCTTAACAATTCTGATAGTTTCCCTATCCTCATCAGCCTTAGGAATAAAACCATTTCTGTGTAGAGTGCCCAAGAAAATCAAGTTCTTCTTCAGATCTGGAATATGTCTGACATCACATAACGTTCTAATTGTGTCATCATACATCTTAATTCTGACTTCTCCAATACCAACAGTATTACAACATTTATCAGCTCCCAAATAGACTGAGCCAAAATTATTTAACATGTAATGAAGTAAACCATTCTCTGTTAGGTGTTATGTGATAAGAACACCATGATTCAAGAATCCATGCATCCGTGAACTGAGTTGATGAAACTGAAAACATATCACTATCACTGTAATTTGAATTGTCATTCTGTGTCACATTTACAAATTTTGATTTCGATGATGCTTCACCTTTCTCCCTAGTCTGCTTCTTGAGCTTTGGACAATCTCTCTTCATATGACCTGCTCTTTGCACTTATAGCAATAAATTTCCTTTTTGCCTTTAGATTTTGATTTGGAATTTTGTCTTCCAGAACTCTCCTTCTCTTTCTTCCTTCCACGATCATACTTATCCTTAACATATAAATTGTCGCCATGAGAGTTTTCCCCTGCATTCTTCTTCCGCTGGTTGTGAGCCAACAATGCTGCAATATCTCATCAAATTTGATAGTTTCTTTTCCATATGTCAGAGTAATCATCAGGTGTTCATAAGAAGAAGACAACGAACACAACAAAATCATCGCTCAATCTTTATCCTTAGTACTCATATCAAACCGTGATAAATCGGTGATTATTTGATTGAAGCCATTCACGTGCTGCGCCAGATCAGAACCTTCTTGCATTTTCAACCCATGCAACTTTTGTTTCAGATACAACTTCTTCGTCAGAGATTTAGCCATAAACTGAGTTTCTAATTTCTCCCACACCTCCCTTGGAGATTTTAGATTTATCACGTGATACATAATTTCATCTGCCAGACATAGGCGTATAGTTGTTGTCGCTCGTTGTTGCAATTCTTCCCAATTTTCACCCCCAACCCACGTACTTCTCGATTTGGACATATTCTTTCGCTCCGCCCTGCTCTGCTTCGATCCAGCGTCTGTCCCTATATGATATATGAGTCATACCATAACACCACCAAATGTTATCTATCTCCAAATCATTGAGTCTAGGAGGATATAAATGGCAACTCCTGTAATTTTTTTTGTAAATTTTGTTTTGTTTTGGCAAGACAAAGTTCCAACTCTCACTTTTCTAAAAAAGATAAAAAATGAATGAATTATCTTAACTGTGTTGGATACGTAAATAATTGCATAAAATTATTATTTTAACACTCCAGAAAATTTTGGTTTGTGACACCAAAGAAGAATAACACAAAAAAATGTGTGG